GCTGGGGAAAACCCCCCCCCCCCCCCCCCCAATAAGTGTGTTGCCCAAAACTTGATAGAAGAAGTTTCCCCCCACCATTCTGTTCCTATGACCAATGAATACTCCTGTATCCACTATGAAGAGAAGTATCAAGGTTTTTCTGTCGTTTCAGTATATTCGGTAACACTACAAAAGATATAGGTAGGCCTGTATGTTTTTGTCTTGTCTTCAATTTAGTTCACTCATGCTTCGCCTCGCATAGCATAGCATCGCATCGCATCGCATCGCATCACCTCGTATCGCATCACCTCGTATCGTATTGTATCGTATCGTATCATACCACAATACATCTCAATCGTAGAGTGTCATCAGTAGTTCTGAAATGATTTGAAATACTGTGAATTTATATTCTGTTATTTTAGATAGAGTTGTTCAGATTGAAAGAAATAACATACAGATTTACTGTTATATAAGTAAGTTTAATAGTTAATACTTTTTACATTGAATCGTTAAACCACTAAACCAGTCTTTCCCAACTCATGATAGGCCTACTTGAAACTGCTTTGGTGAATTTGCGACCACCCTAAGGAACACCCATGACACGATTTATCCCTAAATCACGTAATGTATCAAGTAATACAGGCTATTTGTTGTCTGTAGTAAATCTAAGTAATAGCGTCCCTTTGAATGGTAAAGAAAGAAATTTGAGTATTTGTATTTGAGTCTTTGTATTTGAGTCTTTGTATTTGAGTCTTTGTATTAGAGTCTTTGTATTTGAGTCCTTGTATTTGAGTCCTTGTATTTGAGTCCTTATATTTGAGTCTTTGTATTTGAGTCTTTGTATTTGAGTCTTTGTATTTGAGTCTTTGTATTTGAGTCTTGGATTTGAGTCTTTGTACATTAATATTTGTGTTTGAGTATTTGATTTTAAGTATTTGTATTTAAGTATTTGTATTTAATTATTTGTATTTAAGTATTTGTATTTAATTATTTGTATTTAAGTCTTTGTATTTGAGTCTTTGTATTTGAGTCTTTGTATTTAAGTCTTTGTATTTGGGTATCTGTATTTGAGTATTTGTATTTTAGTCTTTGAATTTGAGTCTTTGTATTTGAGTCTTTGTATTTGAGTCTTATATTGATATTTGTATTTGAGTATTTGTATTTAAGTATTTGTATTTGAGTCTTTGTATTTGAGTCTCTGTATTTAAGTCTTTGTATTTGAGTATTTGTATTTGAGTATTTGTATTTGAGCCTTTGTATTTGAGTCTTTGTATTTGAGTCTTTGTATTTGAGTCTTTGTATTTGAGTCTTGGATTTGAGTCTTTGTACTTGAGTCTTTGTACATTAATATTTGTGTTTGAGTATTTGTTTTTAATTATTTGTTTTTAAGTATTTGTATTTAATTATTTGTATTTAAGTCTTTGTATTTGAGTCTTTGTATTTGAGTCTTTGTATTTGGGTATCTGTATTTGAGTATTTGTATTTGAGTCTTTGAATTTGAGTCTTTGAATTTGAGTCTTTGTATTTGAGTCTTTGTATTTGAGTCTTTGTATTTGAGTCTTATATTGATATTTGTATTTGAGTATTTGTATTTTAGTATTTGTATATTAATATTTGTAATTTAGTTTTTGTATTTTAGTATTTGTATTTGAGTCTTTGTATTTTAGTATTTGTATATTAATAGTTGTAATTTAGTATTTTTATTTTAGTATTTGTATATTAATAGTTGTAATTTAGTCTTTGTATATTAATAGTTGTAATTTAGTATTTGTATTTTAGTATTTGTATTTTAGTATTTGTATATTAATAGTTGTAATTTAGTATTTGTATATTAATAGTTGTAATTTAGTATTTGTATTTTAGTATTTGGTATTTGTGGAGTAATACTCATCACAATGGTGTTACATTTTCCCAGTAAACCGAAACATCCGCCCAGTAATTCTGCTTCCAAAATCAGACTCGACTATATAGCAGGAATGAAACAGCTTATCAGGTAGGTGGCGCTCACGTGGGCAGCCCAGCCAACATGTGACTTTGTATCAACTGTAATCTCGCTTTCGTTTTTCTCCATCCGAGCCAGGGACGTTTCGTCCTCTCTACTGATGCAATGCAGTTTTTTATCGTAATTTGGGACAATTTTAAATTGCATTACCGTTAATATGGTGTAGCAGTTGGAAACTAGCCCCGCCCTGTACCCAAGATAAAGTCATTCAACTTTTCAAAGTTAATTAAGCATTAAGGGTTCTATGTATATGTTGTAATTTTGACTATAGAATGAGTTTTACGATTCGTTATTTCTATATTGAAAGGAATAGACAGTTTTGGTTGGTGGCGCTCATCTATGGCACTTCAACCGGTACCAGAGACGCCTGGAGTTCCATGCTAGATGTCAATTTTAAAGCTCATCACGTTAGTCAGGTACGTTTGACAACTGAAAATTGTATCACGTATCGTGGGGGTGTTTCAATAATGCTTGGCTTTAAAAAGGTGTGGTGGGGGTTGGTCAGTGGGGAGGAAATGAAATAAATGGAGTTTTACGTCGTACTTGTCTGAACCTGTGGGTAAATGAGGACGAGGAGGGCTAGTGGCGATAGCTGCTAGATCATTCCAAAATTATGATACCCAGGTTTCAATAAGTACATTAGCCCGTACAGTCTCTGAATGAAAATTAATCTATTGCCATTTTTCTAGACAGAAGTGGGGTGGATAGGTTTTGTATCGGCCATGGCTGCCGTCATCTCGACAATCATCATTGCCAGGTAAAAAATAATACACAAACCATTTCTGAAACCGAATAACATTAATATTCAAATACTCAAACTGACAAAATGATAAAGTTTAAATAGCTACCAGAGTTTTACAAGATTGTAGTGAGTCACCAATAGCGGCTCTGGCGATCATGGCGTAATAAAACTCCTAGTTTAATTGGAATTGCAAGAATAACAAAAAATTGCGATTGGATGCTATCAGCGTTCCTGATATACATGTAAAGTTTAATTCTTTTTTCAATTCTTAGTTACATTATTAGGTTTGGCTACGTCAAAGACTTTTTCAAGGGAGGCGATGCAATGCAAAATATCTCCAAGAGAAAGACATTAACTTCTCTCCATTTTATTTCCAGATTTGCTGATATTTATAAAAGGAAAATGAAATTGTTTTTGATATTTCTGTTTATCTCTACCACTGTAATGTATGTATGGTTGGTTTTGACTCTACTCGATATTTTAACATTTAATACAAGTAGGTATTTTAATATACTTTCTGAAGGTTTTCAATTTGTCTTGTCTCCCTGTAGCTATGGAACGGGATTAAGAGCGAGCTTTGTTTTATATTTCAGAAAGTCTGTTTGCCTCCAATGTATTAGCGAGTTTATTAAACGGTGCCACATCTCCGATATTTTATGAACTGTGCTGTGAGATAACCTATCCAGTAGACGAGTGTATCACCAGCGTCATCCTAACTTTACCAAGTTCTATAGCCTCTCTTATTTCCCTTGGGACTATTCTACGTACAGAAGATTGGTAGGTATACAAGCATAATGAGATTAATTTTACAAATTCTTCTGTATATCTGATAATTATCGACCCCATTGTAATCTAACATGTTTTCTACCACTGTCCCGTTCTAATGACGTTATTTTTTTTAAACAAACCAAGTGTGTTATCTAGAACCCGTGTTTTGATGAAACCCCGACCCCCTAGAGGCACCAACCTTACAATCTTTATGAAAATATGTATTTTATCTTTGTTGTAATATTGAGAGATTTAAGCCAGATTTACAAAAACTCAGCCATCGAATACAGATTACAGACAAATCATCAACATTAAAACAAAGGCCAGTTTAATGTCAGGTAGTTTTTAGCAAACAAAACCAACATTAATTTAGCGAGGATTACGATTAGAATGGATGTAATTAAAAAACAAAGGAGGTCTCTACAATTACAAAGAGGGTTGCTCGGCTCCCTTTCATCCATGGTGTCTAAAATATCACTGTTTACCCTCCTTTCACTCAAACTTCTGGCTTTTTCTCTACATCTCTGTTCAGTTAACGATCCAGTCAAAATCACTGTTGCTAT